GGAAGAGCGCTTTCTTTTATTACAGTACTTCTCTCGTCATCATCGTCATCATCATCATCATCATCATCATCCACAGCAGCAGCAGCAGCAGCATCACAGTGGTACCACTTTGGAACTTTTTTTTCTCCTGGACTCCCTCCCCTCCTGTGTGTAAACTCCTCCCCTCCACTTTCTCATCCTCTGCTCACATCAGTCAGCTGTGTGGGAATTCCAGCAGCTTTCTTTCTTTCTTCCTTCCTTCCTTTCTTTATTTCTTCTTCCCTCTCTCTCCCGCGCTCTCTCTCTCCGGGGATGTGCATGGATGTTTCAGCGGGAGAGGAGATGTCTCTGCCCGGCGCCACACTCCGTCATCAGTCGGACCAGAGGAAGGTCCGGGCCAGGCGGAAACGGCGAAAAGAGTTGCTTTTGATCCAGATCTGTTTGTTCGGAGGTTTGCTGCTGCTCGTCAAGGGCTTTTCCTACTTGGCGGAAAATTCAGGTGAGCATGAAACGCCGTGCGTGTGCACTACGAGCACATTTGCGCACAATCAAACAGACCATCAACTGACGCTCATCCTTCCCTGTCTTGCACACTGACAGATTAGTTTAAGATCAGTTCAGCTCAGTTTGAATCAGATCTGTGTTCGTTTGATCAGTTTACACTGTAACAGGGCCGCTCATCGGATTTTGGTGGCCGATTCCAACAGACTCAGGTTGATATTCAGGGGTGTCAGATATTTTTGAAGTTGGCAACATGTGGCAGAAATAAAGATGACTAAGTCAAAAAAATTGCACAAATTGACAATGTGATACCAGTTTGTAGATAGGGATCCGACTTGGAGGAAAACTGAGAAACAAATTGATACCGTAGTTACAAGTCATATTAGTTTAAATCTACTCCGACAAATAGAAACATATCTGAATGTAATCTCATGTGTGGCGTTAATGGCTCGTTGTCTGGACAAAGTCGATCTGGTGTGTGCTTACGAATCCTAATAGGATCCTTGTCTGCAACTAGTAGGTTGCAGGTCCAATACCAGCCTCTACTAAAATCCCAGGTTGGGTTGCGTCAATGGCACAAAAAAAAAAAAAGTCCTACAACATATTAACCCTATTTATTGAATATCCCTTGGGTTAGTATTTAGTATATGACCATTTTGAGTTTTTTTTTTAACATGATTGGTTGAACTGTCCATGAATGAAAATTGGGTCAAGACGGTAGCCTCTAACTGTAGAACAGAATAGAATCTCAGCTACATGACAGTGCCGTGTTTCTTCATCGTTAACTTGCTTTTCCAGAGTAGTGACATGATGTCATTGTCCACTTGAATGCAGTAAATAAGTGATCGCTCTGCATTCACAGCACTCACGTCAGAATGATTATTCGATGTCGTGACAGTGTGGCTCTCTGGGGCTGGAGCCAGTCGTCTTCCCTTGTCGCACCAACTCTCTGGTGTGAATACCAGTCACAGAAATATGACAGAGCCTCCATCACTGAGTGACTTCCGATCTGACCAGAAAGTCGGTACAATTCACTGTCACACACTGGTGTGTGTCTTGGTGGTGTGTGTGTTTCTTGTTGTGTAGGGTGCAGCGTACATGGGTACATGCAGGAAAAAAAAAAAACTGAACGACGACACGATGACGAAGCCGCTGATTCAAACAGGTTTACATCATACTGTATATAGCCATTCAGTTATTTAGATTTGACCTCTTATGGTTTGGTGGAGGTGCCTGGAGGCAATACCAGTAGTCGTCAGGTGAGGGTGGAGTTCAACCCTGGACAGTTCTCTGGTCAACTACAAGGTCACATGTAGAGATGAGGCAAAATCACACCCATAATAATAAATTGATTGACTCACGTATTTGGGCCTCATTTTGTAA